TGCTGAATAAGGATTTGAACTGAATCTTGTGGCTGGTGCCCTAGTTAAAGTGTTGCTAAATTGCAAGAAAACACAAATGTCCTCCAAACTAAAAGGAAAGGTAACTATGGAATATTTGCACTTAAGAAGCAACTCTCTAAAACACTTGATACTTTAGGGGCTGCTGTATGCCAAAGATAAAAGTGGGGGGAACAATAGGTTTAAGTACATAACAATCACCTTGCTGGATGATTCTAAATTCTGACCCATCCCTAACTGTGGCCTGTTAGACGCCATAGAAAGACTGCAAATGGTTTGGAATCAGATTATTGGAAGGGCCACTTGCCTGGGTTTTAAGATTGGTTAATCCACCAGACGAGGCGCTAGAGACAGGTCTTTTCAGTAATGGGTCCATATCTTTGTAAATATCTCCCCAAAGAAGAACATATGGTCCCACCAGTGGCAGATTTTAAACAGCCCTTAATTTCATACTGCCTTCTGTTAAAAGTTAGTTGGGGCGATCTGAAGATCTTGCTGCCCTTTCTGCATTAGAACATTTGACTAATAATTGTCAAGCTTGTTTGTATCCTTATTTGGACATATGGACTGCTTACATTAATCAACAATTTTTTTATTGTCAGTGTCAGCTGATTAAGATTTTATTTTCCTTTCTTTATATTAGAATTGCAAATAAAAATTCTTCCCTACTCCAAAACAAACCCAGGAATGAATGGAAGCTGAAACAACCCACAGAAACCGAACCAGGACAGATAGAACCGAAATTAGCCCACTTTCAAGTATCTATGCAGGTTTCGATGCAGGGAGTTCTCTTAATCAGGGAATGATATTTCCACAGAGCAAAGAATGCTAAGTCAAGAGTCAAAACCTGATCTACTGTATAATGGAAAGATTGTGGAAGACTAATTTGTTAAACTGGTTCTATCAGCTTTTGAAATTTGTTACAAACATCATACTCATAAGTCTAAGATTATCACCTTTCACAGTGATTTTGTACAAGGAGCAAACAATTTTAGCAAGAGAACTATGGAAGCAATGGCACTGTTAAAGCTGAACTTCAGAGCTCAAGTCCAGGACACCACAGAGAGTCAACTGTAACAATGGGAAGTGGTGGAAGCAAATTGGGACGTACTGCTTGAGCAGTCAAAATTAAATCTGCTTTCCATTTTATGTTCAAACAATGCAAGAGTGGCAGTGAACTTGTCTGAACACATTGAAGAATGGGGTTAAGGAAGGCGGAGAAGGGTCAAGTAATTCCCACCCCCCGAAGTTTGTGAAACAAGCACCCACCTTTTCGTGCCCTGGCAGACTCTCACACAGGAGAGCTGGAACCTTGCAGAGGCAGAAGTACAAATGAAAAGCACCAGCAGTGAGGAGAGAGGAACCACATTGACTGAGCAGTTTGTCCCATAGCCTGTGTTCACCCTACACCTGTCATTGCATAGCTGCCAAGTGCCCTGGGAAAAACGGGACATCCTATTTTTTGCGCGAGATCGTGATGGCCATTTTGGGCGCCGTGCTCTCACCCTGCAAAAAGCACAAACAAACAAATCTAGAAGGTAAAGATGAGAATGAATTATATTCCAAGTGTTCATACAGGAGATAAATCCATTCCTTGCATTGGAATTTTGCAAAAGTCCAACTGCACAAAAACCACAACTTGTTTCTGGTTCTCCACGGAGGAAGGAAAAGTGACTTACTTTGTTTTGTTCTGCTTTTGCAACATTGAGCTGCACTGTCTGCTTAAAGCAAAGCTCCTGCTTTCAGCCAAAAAGCAGAGAAGAACAAAGGCAAAACCCTCTCTTCTTTCTTCCCTTTGGGCCTTTGCAGGAAGTAGCAGCAAGGTGCTGCCTGCTGCTGGTGCTTTTTGCAAAAGAGAAAAGAGCTTGCCTCTCCTTCCCCAGAGAGGCTTTCAATCAGATCGTAGTATAGCAGAGCTCAGCCAGGATTGAGCCGGCTCCTTGCAAAGCCCCATTCCTGTTTACTCGCAAGCAGGGACGCAGTGGGAGAAGAAAGATTGGGGGGGGGGATTAAGATGTAAAAGGCCAATGGAAAAAGGGACATCCCACTCTGTACTGTGCCCTGCTTTAAAATCACAGTTTCATCCCAAGAACCTCATGGACAACCTTCTAAGGAACACTTGGCAATGGAAGAAGGGGCAAGAGGCAAGTGTAGGTGGAGCAATGAGTTTACATTTTACATTTATACAATAGGCACATTCCACACACACTCACCCACCCCTCTATATCCTCCATGCAGACAAACAAGAGGAATTATTTATGATCATGATCATTACTACCCCCATTCTGCCCTGCCCTTCACCAGAAGGTCCCAGGGCAGGTTATTGCAAAATACAAATACGAATTTTCAGAATTCAAGGGCATAGTCTGGGTGCGAGGCAAGGCCGGAAAAGGGTGTGTCTTGAGGAGAGTTCAAAAAGCCAGCTAGAGAGGCCTGGAGGGCTACATTTGGCTTCTGGGACCAAGGTTCCCCAGAATAGAACTGAGCACCACAGGTATAGGTAAGGTTCATTGCTAATTATCTGAAGGTTCTCATATATTCATTGAGGCCTAATGTCTTCCAGTGTGTCACGGACTGGCAGAATGCAGAGGAATGGTGGAGGCACTGGCTAGGGAACCCTCAAGGGATGAAGGCTCGGAGCTGGGTGGTGGGACAATGAAGAGGGAGAAGGGGGAGAAGACTGGGAGGAGGAGATGTTGGAAGCTGGAGAGGTAACAGGGTTTAGTGAGTGGGGGTGGGGGGGCGGTCTGTGGCAGAGAGAAGCCCAGAATCAGAGACAGAAACTTCTGCAGGAGAGAAGGGAAGCCAAGAGGCAGAAATTAGTCTGGCTGGTGAAGAAGCAAGGATGTCTCCCTCTTCTGCTGTGACAAGCTCCCCTACCTGGTCTCCCTGAACCAGGAGAGGCATGAAGTGAGAGGAGCAAAGACAGACATGTCAACATAGTCTCAGATTTCTTGGGAAGGACTTGGGGGGGAGGGACTTAGTCAGCTGTGGGAAAGTAGACCTTCAGTCTACACAACTGCCTCATAGGAGCAAGACCTACTAAGAAGAGTTGCTGTGCTCATAAGTCCTGCTGCTCTGGTTCTCTTCTCATAAAGAGTTAACTTCACTTGCCCTGTGTATTTATTGCTGGCTGGCTCCCTGACATAGTGAGCAAAAAAGGGGGGAAAGTATTAAAAGAAATAGAATTGCAAAATACACAGGAGAATGGGAAATAAAAGTTTGTGAGTGTGTTGTGTTTTTTTTTTTTTAAAAAAAGGCCTGATTGCTCATTCTCAGGAATTTCTGTAACAGCCAAATGATTATAGCCATTATGATTAGTATGTTTTCTACAGCTTTAGCTGTAATAATTATGCCACTTAATTTTATTTGTAAAAGCAGTATGGTGTTATGCAAATGTCAGATTGTTAGTATTATTATTATTATTATTATTTTAAAAGAAGAGGTTGAATATAAAAATTCCCTAGCTCAATTTTTAATGACAAAAAGCTCGAAGCATTTTTATTACTTCTCTTAACTACACAACAGAGTCAAAGACCTCAGGGGTTATAAAACTAAAATCAAAAATAGAAAAGCGATCAAGGCTCTCATGTATCAGAGCCCCAAACGGCAATATTTAAATAATAAAAGAGCTTCTAAAAATGAAATGTGAAGAATGAATAAAGTTATATATGCTGAAAAATCAGCAATAAAATAAATTAACTAGCTGAAAAAACAAGTACTTTTATTTCATAAGAATATCATCTTACTGCCTGAATTAGCAATAATACAGAAACCGGCATCTCTGCCTCCTTCTCATACTTCATTGTAATATAACCATTATAACAGTTATTAGGCAGAGCCTTTAAGAGCTGATTAAAATGTGTATTTTGACACAGTAGTGCTTTCAAAAATATATATACATAAATAGTATGGTTTGGAAAGACTCTGACCCAATTACAGCTATTTATTATTATTATTATTATTATTATTATTATTTCAACAGTAAATTGAGGTGATGGAAACTCATTTTTCCTCAAGTGGATTTGGATTGGGGACTTTTCCTGCCCAACACATTGGGCTAGATTTAAAAACATAGTTGCCTTAGTACAGTGGTTCTCAGAGAGTGTGGCAGGAGAGGATAGCAAGTGTGGCAGGAAGATTCAAGGGCAATCACTATTATATTTTGGGAATAACTCATGTTCTTATGTAGCTGCATCATTTTCTACTTTCTGGATGTCCCATGATCGTATTACAAAGTAGTTGTGTTCTATGTTACAAATCAAGCACTGTTAGGAGTTGTTTTCCATTGTATTTCTTATCAATAAAAATGTAGCGTGGCATGAGCGAATTTTGATTCTGAAAGTGTCGCCCAGAGGAAAAAGGCTTGAGAACTACATCCCTAGTGGGAGCCAGCAACAATAAGTCTCACTGGTGCAATGGACTTCTCATCCTCCCCCCACATCCTCCAAATCAGCTCTGAGGGGGGTTAGGAAGACCCCCAGAACGGCACAAGGAGGGAGAAGAGGGGATATTGTTCCATCTGGCAAGAAGAAATTCGATCATAAGATCCCATCGTTGAATTCCTCCCTTTTTATTTAAGCCCTTCATTGTACATTTGGAAACCAGATTTCCTTATAACCCTTCGTAGCATTCATCCGTCCATATATTTTTTATGGTTAATTATTCTGAAAAAGTGCAATTTGTGGGTTTTCTTTTAACATAATACTTACTGCTTGCTGCTGCTGCCGCTCTGCCGTGAGTTTGTGGGGAGGACCGCTCCCCCCTGAAGCCCTTTTTCCATCTTGGGCCGGGGGGCGGGCCCCATACTCCACCACAGCATATAAGGCTCCAAGGAGGCCTCGGGACATTGCTGCTGTTGCTTTGCCGGTGAGTCTTGGGGAGGACCGCTCCCCCCTGAAGCCCTTTTTCCACCTTGGGCCGGGGGGCGGGCCCCATACTCCACCTCAGCATATAAGGCTCCAAGGAGGCCTCGGGACATTGCTGCTGCCGCTCTGCCGTGAGTTTGTGGGGAGGACCGCTCCCCCCTGAAGCCCTTTTTCCACCTTGGGCCTGGGGGCGGGCCCCATACTCCACCACAGCATATAAGGCTCCAAGGAGGCCCGGGACATTGCTGCTGTTGCTTTGCCGGTGAGTCTTGGGGAGGACCGCTCCCCCCTGAAGCCCTTTTTCCATCTTGGGCCGGGGGGCGGGCCCCATACTCCACCTCAGCATATAAGGCTCCAAGGAGGCCTCGGGACATTGCTGCTGTTGCTTTGCCGGTGAGTCTTGGGGAGGACCGCTCCCCCCTGAAGCCCTTTTTCCACCTTGGGCCTGGGGGCGGGCCCCATACTCCACCTCAGCATATAAGGCTCCAAGGAGGCCTCGGGACATTGCTGCTGCCGCTCTGCCGTGAGTTTGTGGGGAGGACCGCTCCCCCCTGAAGCCCTTTTTCCACCTTGGGCCTGGGGCGGGCCCCATACTCCACCACAGCATATAAGGCTCCAAGGAGGCCTCGGGACATCGCTGCTGCCGCTCTGCCGTGAGTCTTGGGGAGGACCGCTCCCCCTTGAAGCCCATTTTCCACCTTGGGCATGGGGGCGGGCCCCATACTCGCCTCCGCAGCTTATGGGGCTCCAGGGAGGCCTCGGGTGTGTGGGGTGGGGTGGGTGTTTAGTTGGGTGTGGGAATTTGTTTAATTTAATTATGTTGTGTTTGTAACTTTGTTTTTGTTTTTATAGTTTTATTGTTCTGTTAGGTTGTTTTTGTATAGGCTTTAATTTGATTTTAAGGGGAGGGGTCAGGGCTGCCTGGGAGTGGGTCCCAGCAAACAAAATGGCTGGGGCAGGTTCCACAGGGGGGGATGCACTCGGACAACCGATCTCAGTGATCACGGGTAGGAGGAGGAGTTACGCTAAGACCAGACCATGTCATTACCGAGGAAGCAGGCTTAGTCGTTGTTTGAGGACTATCCCTGCCTCCAGGTCTGGTCCTGACCGGAAGGATACTGGAATCAACAAGGGAAACCCACATGACCTGAAAGTGTTGCTGTGCAATGCCAGGTCAATGATGAATAAAACCTCTGCCATCCACGACCTGATTGTGGATGGAGGATTTGACCTGGCATGTGTGACAGAGACCTGGTTGGATGAAGCAGATGGGCCCGTCCTTGCCGCTGCTTGTCCACCAGGTTTCTCTTACGCACAGCAACCCAGGCCTTGTGGGCGGGGAGGGGGGGTTGCAGTGATTTTTAGGAAGTCATTAGTTTGCACCAGGCGTCCTATTGGAAAGACCCAGTTCTCTGAGTGCATGTTCTGGAAGTTGGGCAATAGGGGCAGTACAGGATTCCTATTGGTGTACCGACCTCCCCGCTGCACCAAGGATTCCCTGCCCGAGCTGCTTCAGGTCGTGGCGGATGTCCTCCTGGAGACACCTAGTTTGGTTGTCCTAGGGGACTTTAACATCCATGCCGACACGACCTTACAAGGGGCCGCTCGGGACTTCGTGGAAAGCATGGCCTCCATGGGGCTGTCCCTGAATAAGTCTGGCCCAACTCATAGCCACGGGCATGCCTTAGACCTGGTGTTCACCTCTATGGATGTTGGTGATCTGACACTAAGTAAAAGCGAAACCAAAGAAGTGCCATGGTCAGATCACTTCCTGGTGCAACTGGACTTCTCCGTGACCCTTCCCCTCTGCAGGGAGGCGGGACCGATTCAGATGCCCCGCCACTTAATGGATCCAAATGGTTTCCAGAGAGTGGTAGGGGATGTTTTATCCCATGTTGATGGCCTTTCAGCTGATTCCCTGGTGGCCCGCTGGAATGTGGAGTTAACCAGGGCTATTGACTGTTTGGCTCCAAAGCGCCCTCTCCGATTGCATGGAGTCCGGACAGCCCCGTGGTTTTCCACGGATCTGAGAGCAATGAAACAATCGTTGAGACGGCTAGAGCGCCGGTGGCGGATAACCCATTCTGAATCTGACCGGACACGGGTTAGAGCTCAATGTCGAGCCTACCAAGTGGCGATAGCGACGGCGAAGAAGACTTTCTTCACCGCCTCTATTGCATCTGCGGAAAACAGCAGCAGGAGACTCTTTCAGGTGGTTCGCAATTTAGCGGAACCACCTGCTCCATCAGGGCCCAGTAGGGGCCACATGATCTCCTGCAATGACTTTGCAAAGTTTTTGCAGATAAAGTCGCTCAGATTCGAGAAGAGGTAGACTCCACCGTGGGAGCAGGGCCGGGGCGGGAGAGTGCTAGAGTCCTGTCTAGTCAAGTTGTGTGGGATCATTTCCAATCTGTTACCCCGAGGATGTGGACAGGCTGCTTGGACGAGTGAAACCAACCACTTGCCTCCTTGATCCTTGCCCATCCTGGCTTATAAAAGCTAGCCGGGAAGGACTGGGCGATGGGCTTCGTGGGGTGGTGAATGCTTCCCTCCGTGAGGAGCCTTCCCAGACCCGCTGAAAGAGGCGGTTATTAAACCGCTTCTTAAAAACCATCTTTAGATGCGGCCACGATAGCCAACTATCGCCCAGTCTCAAATCTTCCATTCTTGGGCAAGGTGATTGAGCGAGTGGTTGCTGAACAACTCCAGGCACGCCTGGAAGAAGCGGACCATTTGGATCCCTTCCAGTCGGGATTCAGGCCTCATCATGGGACTGAAACTGCCTTGGTCGCACTGGTTGATGATCTCCGGCGGGCTAGGGACAAAGGTGAGAGCTGTTTCCTAGTTCTGCTGGATCTCTCAGCGGCGTTTGATACCATCGACCATAACATCCTTCTGGACCGTCTTGAGGGGCTGGGAGCTGGGGGCACTGTTATACAGTGGTTCCGCTCCTTCCTCCTGGGCCGTGTTCAGAAAGTGGTGGTGGGGGATGAGTGTTCAGACCCCTGGGCCCTCACTTGTGGGGTGCCTCAGGGTTCTGTCCTCTCCCCCATGCTTTTCAACATCTACATGAAGCCGCTGGGAGAGATCATCAGGGGATTTGGGCTGGGTGTTCATCAGTATGCGGATGATACCCAGCTCTACCTCTCTTTCAAATCAGAACCAGTGAAGGCAGTGAAGGTCCTGTGTGAGTGCCTGGAGGCGGTTGGAGGTTGGATGGCGGCTAACAGATTGAGGTTGAATCCTGACAAGACAGAAGTACTGTTTTTGGGGGACAGGAGGCGGGCAGGTGTGGAGGATTCCCTGGTCCTGAATGGGGTAACTGTGCCCCTGAAGGACCAGGTGCGCAGCCTGGGAGTCATTTTGGACTCACAGCTGTCCATGGAGGCACAGGTCAAATCTGTGTCCAGGGCAGCTGTTTACCAGCTCCATCTGGTACGCAGGCTGAGACCCTATCTGCCTGCGGACTGCCTCGCCAGAGTGGTGCATGCTCTGGTTATCTCCCGCTTGGATTACTGCAATGCGCTCTACGTGGGGCTACCTTTGAAGGTGACCCGGAAGCTACAACTAATCCAGAACGCGGCAGCTAGACTGGTGACTGGGAGCGGCCGCAGAGACCACATAACACCGGTCTTGAAAGACCTACATTGGCTCCCAGTACGTTTCCGAGCACAATTCAAAGTGTTGGTGCTGACCTTTAAAGCCCTAAACGGCCTTGGTCCAGTATATCTGAAGGAGCGTCTCCACCCCCATCGTTCTACCCGGACACTGAGGTCCAGCACTGAGGGCCTTCTGGCGGTTCCCTCACTGCGAGAAGCCAAGTTACAGGGAACCAGGCAGAGGGCCTTCTCGGTAGTGGCGCCTTCCCTGTGGAACACCCTCCCACCAGATGTCAAAGAGAACAACAACTACCAGGCTTTTAGAAGACATCTGAAGGCAGCCCTGTTTCGGGAAGCTTTTAATGTTTGATGTATTATAGTATTTTAATATTCTTTTGGAAGCCGCCCAGAGTGGCCGGGGAAGCCCAGCCAGATGGGCGGGGTATAAATAATAAATTATTATTATTATTATTATTATTATTATTATTATTATTATTATTATTACAGAGAGACTTCCATGGTCTACACATGGGCAGATATGACACTGCAGAGACAAAGAAGGCTTTCCCATTCAATCAGGGAGTTCATGACTCAGAACCAACAGTGCTGTTTGTCAGCAAAGACCTTGAGAGAATCTATAATGAATTCAGATGTGTGGAAGTGCAGTTCACTTCAAACTGTTCCGCTCCCTGTTCTAGCATTATTAGTAACGATGCCCTCAAATTCTGAGCTCAGTTTGGGTGCCAATTGGGGCAAGTCACTTTCAGAACATCACCCATGAACAAAAGGCTATTTGCAGCAGATTCCTGTCCTGAAAATGCTTTGATCAGGTGCAGTTAGTTGATGGCAAGGCCGTCCCACCAATGAGGCAATGTGAGGTGACAGCCTCAGGCGGCAGGATCCACAGGGACAGCAGATCCTGATGTAGATCTTTATTCCTTGCTTGTTCCTCATGTAGATTTTCAGTCACCCCTTATTTCCTTGAAGGAGAAGAGGGGGGCACCATTTTGTGGCTCTCCTCAGGTGTCAAAATGTCCTGGGCCGGTCCCAGCTTGTGGTAAACAACACTTAAAATATTCATTTGCCCGACGTTCTAATCCTTAGTCATCAGAATGTTAACTATGTCTCTGCCAGGTGTGCCATGGAGATGTGCTGGTTCCTAAATGCTAGGAGGAAAACACTGGTTTAAAATCATTCTATGCAGATGAGGCTGCTCTTAATTGTAGCTGAGTTTAACTGAAACACTTCTTGTTAATCCTGTTATTATTAACCTAGCTGGAAGTGCAATACAGTGGTACCTTGGGTTACAGATGCTTTGGGTTACAGATGCTTCGGGTTACAAACTCTGCTAACCAGGAAGTGGTTGCTCCAGGTTAAGAACTTTGCCACAGGATAAGAATGGAAATGGCGCACCAGCGGCGCAGCAGCAGCAGGAGGCCCCATTAGTGAAAGCACACCTCAGGTTAAGAAACGTTTCAGGTTAAGAATGGACCTCTGGAACGAATTAAGTTCTTAACCCGAGGTACCATTGTACTGGTCCCACATGGCATCTAATGTAGCACTGTATTCCCATTTAAAACCCACAGTGCAATGCCCACCCTCTTTATTCAGGAATAAGTCACATTTGGTCAATGGGATTTACTCCCTGGAAAAGTATGTTATCATCACTGCCTTTTCAAAGTTGATGTTTATTTTTTCTGTTATTGTTATACTGGTACATGTGCTGTTGTGCAGCAATGGGAATGAAGAAATAAATAATTACAGATGGCCTTGAGCTAAGTTTCAAAGTAATGGTGTGTGTGTGTGTGTGTGTGTGTGTGTGTGTGTGTGTATGCCTGTATGTAACTCAGAGAGAGAGGGGGGATGCTAAGAATGTTTACTCAGAAGTAAATCTAATATGGTGCTAATGGAGTTGCACCATGTGGAAATGTGTGCTGCAGATTACTATATTTTTCAAGGTTTCAGTAGCTCAGGACTTGAGCAGCTGGACTGTAATGGGAATGGTGAAAAAGCAGCACTACCAAGCACATCTACTGAAACTCACAGAACATCCCTGCTGCCGCTTGTATCTGTAGAACTTTGCCAGTCTTCATGTAAAATCTTGGTACTTGAATTATAGCACAAGTC